GGCGGGGCTTCATGCTGTGGGCCTGTTCCCTCTGGCGAGGCCTTCTTCTCCCACGCGAGGAGGCGAGGGGACGAGGCGAGCGGCGAGCCCCAGGACCCCCGGTTGCGTGCCCATGAGGCGGGGGGCCTGAGCCCGCCAAGGAGGGGAAGGTAAGGCCGGTCAAGGGAGAGGGTCAGAGGAGGGAGGGAGGGCCCTCTGGTCACGTGGGGACACACCTGGGCACACACCTGGGCACACCCTGAGGCCCTTGGGGGATTGTTTTGGGCTCTCAGGTCAGATCAGCAGGGTGATTTCCAACGCTGTTTATTGGAAGGAAGCCAGCCTTGGCTTTGGTTTTTCTCTGAATGCTGCCATTAGAAAATGCATAAGGATGGGGGTGAACTACAACTCCCAAAATCGTGGGTCAAGCCTCCCCAAGCCGGGCCAGTATTCACAGTTGGCCATGTTGGGCCAATGCGCCAAGTCTGGTCCAGATATGTCGTTGGCAGGGTTCAGTGCTCTCTAAGTGCAAGTGAACTACAACTCCCAGATTCAGTGATCTCTCTCTTGATGCAGGGGAACTACAACTCCCACATTCAGAGATCATTCACCCCCAAACCCTGCCAGTATTCATAGTTGGCCATGTTGGTCCAGATATGTCATCAGCAGGGTTCAGTGCTCTCTAGATTCAGGTGAACTACGATTCCCAGGTTCATTGCTCTCTAGGTGCAGGTGAACTACGATTCCCAGATTCCAAGGTTCAGTCCTCTCTAGATGCATGTGAACTACAACTCCCAGATTCCAAGGTTCATTGCTCTCCAGATGCATGTGAACTACAATTCCCAGATTCCAAGGTTCAGTCCTCTCTAGATGCAGGTGAACTACAATTCCCAAATCCCAAGGTTCATTGCTCTGTAGATGCAGGTGAACTACAATTCCCAGATTCCAAGGTCATTCACCTCGTAACCCTGCCAGTATTCACAGTTGGCCATGTTGGGTCTGTGTGCAAAGTTTGGTCCAGATATGTCGTCAGCGTGGTCCAGTTCTCCTTAGATGCAGGTGAACTACAATTCCCAGTTTCCAAGGTTCAGTGCTCCCTAGATGCAGGTGAACTACAACTCCCAGATTCCATTGCTCTCTCTCTTGATGCAGATGAACTACAACTCCCAGATTCCAAGGTCATTCACCACCTAACCCTGCCAGTATTCACAGTTGGCCATGTTGGGCCAGTGTGCCAAGTCTGGTCCGGATATGTCGTTGGCAGGGCTCAGTGCTCTCTAGGTGCAGGTGAACTACAACTCTCAGATTCGAAGGTTCAATCCTCTTTAGATGCAGGTAAACTACAACTTCCAGATTCCAGGGTTCAGTGCTCTCTAGATGCAGGTGAACTACAACTTCCAGATTCCAATGTTCATTGCTCTCTAGATGCAGGTGAACTACAATTCCTAGATTCCAAGGTTCAGTGCTCTCTAGATGCAGGTGAAAGACAACTCTCAGATTCCAAGGTAATTCACCCCCTAACCCTGGCAGTATTCACAGTTGGCCATGTTGGACCAGTGCACCAAGTTTGGTCCTGATATGTTGTCAGCAAGGTTCATTGCTCTCTAGATGCAGGTGAACTACAACTCCCAGATCCCAAGATCATTCACCCCCTAACCCTGGCAGTATTCGCAGATGGCTATGTTGGACCAGTGCACCAAGTTTGGTCCTGTTATGTTGTCAACAAGGTTCATTGCTCTCTAGATGCAGGTGAACTACAACTTTCTGAAGTCAAGGTCAATTCCCGCCACTCCCCTCTGGTATGTTCAGTTGGCCATGGGGGGGGGTCTGTTTTCAAAGTTTGGTCCAGATCTGTCATCCGTGCGGGTCGCAGTGTTCTCTGGAAGTGGGTGAAGGTACTGCAAATCCCCTCATCTGCGGTCCATCCTCCCCCAACCCTCACCAGGACACAAAGCGCATCATAGGGAGTCTGTGTGCTAAATTTGGTCCAGATCCTGGGTGATGGGATTAACAGTAGTCTCTGGATGTGAGTGAAGGTACTGCATATCCCATTGTCCATGTTATATCCTCCACGAAACACGACCAGAACATAAAGGTGCCATGGGTTGGGGGTGGGGGTCTGTGTGCCAAGTTTGGTCCAGGTGTGTCGTTCGTGGGGGTCACAGTGGTTTCTGGAAGTGAGTGAAGGTACTGCAGTTCCCATCATCCATGGTCCATCCTCTCCCAAAACGCACCAGGAAGTAAAGTACGTCATGGAGAGTCTGTATGCCAAGTTTGGTCCATGTCTGTCATTTGTGGGAGTTGCAGTGGTCTGTGGGAACCAATTGGAAAGCAGAGAGAATTGGATTATCTAAGTCCACACTGCCAGATAATCCAGTCCAATGTGGATTTTATGTAGCCATGTAGAAAGGCCATAAGCCACTTCTACATTGCCATATAAAATCCAGATTATCTGCTTTGAACTGGATTATATGGCAGTGAAGACTCAGATAGTCCAGTTGAAAGCTGATAATGTGCTTTGAGAGCCTAGGACCCTTCCACACAGCCACATGACCCAGAATATCAAGGCAGATAATCCCACAATATCTGCTTTGAACTGGGTTATATGGCAGTGAAGACTCAGATAATCCAGTTAAAAGCGGTTAACGTGGACTATCTGCTTTGAGAGCCTAGGACCCTTCCACACAGCCATATAACCCAGAATATCAAGGCAGACAATCCCACAATATCTGCTTTGAACTGGGTTATCTGCATCCACACTGCTATATATCCCTGTTCAGAGCAGAAAATGTGGGGTTTTATTCAACTGTGTGGAAGTGGCCTTTGATTATATGACGGTGTAAAAGGGGCCTCGAAGTGGCTTACATTAAAAGCAGTTTAATACAATTACATATATATATATACTAGCGGTTCCCTGCCACACGTTGCTGTGGCCCAGTCTGGTGATCTGGAAAATAAAGTAATGAGAAAGTGTTGGTTTCTAATCTATGTCATGTCTTTCTGCTTGTGAGTAAACAGTATTTCTTGATGTTTCTTTGACAGTGTTGTCGTGGAGAGTGTCTGGTTTGCCTACTCTGGAACATGTAACATGCAATTGTCCATCTTTAGGAGTCCCTTTCAAAACTATAATACTTTATCTGTGTCTGTGTGAAATATACATATCTATATCTATGGCTGGATGGCTCTCTGTCAGGAGGGCTTTGATTACGTTTTCTTGCCCTGGTGAAGGGAGCTGGACTGGATGGCCTTGAGTATTTTCTGTTGGTCATGGGGGTTCTGTGTGGGAAGTTTGCCCCAATTCTGTCATTCGTGGGGTTCATTCAGAATGGTCTTTTATTGTAGGTGAACTATAAATCCCAGTATCTACAACTCCCAAATGCCAAGGTCTATTTCCCCCAAACTCTATCTGTGTTCGTATTTGGGCATATGGAATATTCGTGCCAAGTTTGGTCCAGGTCTGTGTGGGAAGTTTGCCCCAATGCTCTTTGATTGTAGGTGAACTATAAATCCCAGCAATTACAACTCCCAAATGACAAAATCATAATTTTTTGAGCGATGGTCACTCCTTGTGTAGTGAGACGTTTTGTTGCCAAATTTAGTGTGATTCCATTCATTGGTCCTTTTGTTTTTAAGGAACTCATTATGCGCAGAGCATTTATATATATATATATAGATATAAATATACAAACATTAAAACAGAATTAAATATCTTTGGTATTCAAAATGCAGTTCAAATCCTTAAAAACATATCCAAACTTTCTATTCTCTATGGTCCCTTCTACGCAGACATATAAAATCCATTTTATCTGCACTAAAGTGGATTATATCAGTCTACACTGCCATATAATCCGGTTCAGTTCAGATAACCTGGGTTTTATATGGCAGTGTGGAAGGGGCCTTTTTGCGAAGCCGCTTTGAGCCTCCTTCAGAAGAGAGAAAGCAGGGTTGAGCCCAAGGTGAGTTTGACCTTCCTTCTTCCAGGCAACGGTCTGGGATTTTCCTTGATTTAGCAAGAAAAGGGCCAAGCACATCCCTCGAAAGGAGAAACCTGCCCACACTTCTGAGAATGTCCCGGCATCATCATCATCGTTATTATATTTATTTACACCCCGCTTCATCTCTCCCAACGGGGACTCCAAGCATCTTGACATAAAAGCATTAGTAGGCCATTTAAAATATGCAAAGATGCAAACATGGAAAGAGAACGAAACACAAACAGCACGAAAGAAATTCACAGTTAAAATCCATCAAAACATCTTCAAAGTGGAAAGACACAGGCACAGCCTCGTTTGTGCTTTGCGTGGAAAGCAAGGCAGAACATGCTGGATTTTCTCCTTCCATCCATCCTTGGCTCCTTCTACACTGCCATATAATCCAGGGTTGTTTGTTTGTTTGTTGTGTTAGGAGCAACTTGAGAAACTGCAAGTCGCTTCTGGTGTGAGAGAATTGGCAATCTGCAAGGACATTGCCCAGGGGACACCTGGATGTTTTGATTTGTTACCATCCTTGTGGGAGGCTTCTCTCATGTCCCCCCATGGGGAGCTGGAGCTGATAGAGGGAACTCATCCATGTTCTCCCTGGATTTGAACCTGTGAGCTGTCGGTCTTCAGTCCTGCCGGCACAGGGGTTTAACCCACAGCACTACCGAGAGCTCCTATAATCCAGGTTATCAAAGCAGATAATCCACGACATGCAAGTGTGGAGTAGAGCAAACCACTGACCACTTACTACAATGCGGTCTGAGCCCTGCCATATGCACAATGGAGGACCTTCTCCCAGCCACACCAGAGGCACTCCAAGTGGTCCAAGGACATTGAGTATCATGCCAACTTTGCATTTTGTAAAATACATTACAACTGTACCCTCGATTTGCTTCTGATACGCTAAATAAATAAATCCACATTATTTATTTATGTACTATATTTGTATCCCGCCCTTCTCATCCTGCAGGCAACTCAGGGCAGTTTACAGAGGCAACAATTCAATGCCCAACAACACCATAAAAACATTTAAAAACATTAACACATAATATAAAACCATAACAAGATCAATAAAACACAAATCATTTACGTCTCTTAGTTAAAAACGTTGTCCAGTTTCATCATGCAGGAGTTCCAGATTCCTATGTCTTCTTTGAACTGGGTTATATGACTCCGCACTGCCATATTTA